AAAAAAAAAAAAAAAAAAGCGCAAAACTTGCCATTAGGGACCCTATCTCAAATCCTCAACTAGGTTGCACGTTCTTGCCTCCAAACAGAGTCTGAGTATTATACATTTTGCAATCCCGCGAATCATTTAGCAGAGTGCTGAGCACACAGGAGCCACAACAAAGACCTTGGGCTGGCCTGAAATTTGGAACCTACCCTTTTTGAGATCTCAGCCACGTTTCCCATCACACTACTTGGAGCCGCAAGCTGCAGTTCACCCTCCGGCCGCACGGCGGCGCAATGGGAATCCTGAGCGCTGGGACGAGCGCCGGGGCCGTCTTGGCCCGGGGAGGTCCGGCTCCCAGAATGCACTTTGTATCAACACGGCGGCGGGGCGGCTTCGAGGCCCGGCAGCTGGCTTACTGGCGCCGTGCGCGACGGCTGTGCGGCGGGCCCGGCGTTGAGCAGCGAGTGGAGCCATGGCGGAGTCGGCGCCTTCCCGGGTAAGCGCTCTCGCGGGCCTGCGGGGTGGTCGCAATGATGGCGCCGCTGCCCGGGGCGGGGCTTCGCGGGGGCTCGCGCGGGCGCCCGGTTTCCCCGGCTGCCGTTGGCCGGGCGGACGCCCCGACCTCCCCGCGGCCTCTCGCCGTCGCCCTTTTCCTCCGCTTCCTCGCACTTGGGGCTCAGCGCCTGGACGCTGAGCGCCTTCGCCCGGTGACTTGTGCAAGCCTGGTGTCGCGCCCTGGGGTTTGTGACGGTACCCTCCCGTCGTGTCCGAGAGACCCCCTTTCCGGGTCGGGGCGCTGCCCCCGAGCCCGCGGGGGGGTGGCCCGGAGACCCCGGCACTCCTGGCGCGTGGCGCGCTTCCCGGCCTCGCCCCGGCTGCGGGGAGCTCCGAGGAGCGCAGCCACAGGTTGAAGCCGGCGGGGTTGCGCTCCTGGGAGGGGCCCGCGGTGTCACCCACCCGGCAGGTGCTGGCTTTTGTTCGCGAAGGGAGCGCCTTCTCCCTTTCCACCTCGTCCAGTCGTTCTTTTTCAGGGAAGATCTGGACCCTGGAGCTTGGCGTGAGGATTTCCTGGGTGTGGAGTCGGGAAACGAATCAAGTCGCGAATGAGCGCCCAGCTGTCCGCTAGGGTGGTTTTAGGCAACCGTGTTCGTCTCTCTGGGGCTATCTTTTAACTGTGGATTAAGAGGGTATTGGGGGGCTGGAAAAGCATCAGGGACCGCGGTTCAATCCCCCAGCACCACATGCCAGCCAGCCCGCCCCCTGGTGGGCTGAGCTGGCC